AAAAGAAGAGGAGAGGATGGATGAGAGGAGGTGAAAAGAAGAGGAGATCGCTTCGAGTACTTACTTCCTGTCCAGAGAGGTAGTAGGCGGCCAGCAGTCCTCCTATGAAACGAATGTTGACCTCAAACACAGACACCTCGGCATTCTGGGAAAACAAGAGAGCAGAGAGAGAAAAACATCAGATAGGAAAACACAAACAAATCATTCATTTATATTTATGTTTGTATTTGGACTTTGTTGGTTTTATGCCATCCTCTGAAGAAGAAAAAGGTTTCTTATGAGCTCCTCTTGTCAGCTCTTGTCCTTCAGTGACTGGTTTGTAAAACTTAAACCTGAATTACAGATAGAGAACACTTATACTCTCTCACTTACACTCAAATGTCAGGTAGTAGCACACCTACAGGCGACAGATTGAGAGCCTTAAACGTTGCCTTCAGAGCTCCTGAGAACTTTAAATGAAGCCACACATTTACTGAAAGTCACTCGTCGTGTGGATGAACACCGCTCTCAAGGTCTCTGCATGTTTCTCACACTAATTAAGCCCACAGTTGTCACCCTGGCCATCATGCTGCAGCCGGGTGTTCACCCCTAATTGTACTGTTTGCAAAGCACAGCTTAATTGGGGCTGAATCTCAGCACAATCTCCTGCTTTCTCCGATTTAATTGAAAGAATAATTGACCTGCTGCTGCTCTGTTTCTAGTGTAGTTTCACAGGAACTTTACCCAGAAACCCCAGCAGCCTCAGGTCAGCATAAACCCCTTTTTAACTAATAAGTGCTTGCTGCGAGCCTACGTCAAGACGTTTAGGTTAAACATCTGGTGATGAAAATAGAAACTTGATTTATTTATCGTTTTATTTTGAAAGGAGTAAAAGGACGTCGTGTTGAACGGAGTGATGAAACGACGGGACGCTCTCGTAAAGCTCGAGGCCAGCTTTTTTTTGGGAAGCTTCCATCTATGCTACTTCCTGTCTGTCAGTCACTCGTTAGCCGTTTACAACAAGAGTTTAGGAGCAGAGGAGCTGTAAAACAGCCTGATTTAAGAACGCGAGGACGGAGAGGAATCACCGAGGATGTGAGGTGAATAAAAGTTTAGATTAAAAAACGAATTGTTTTATAGGACAGCAGTCGTTCCTGTCTCTGATCTTCAGTCATAAGATTACGGCACATTGTACTCTCTCTCCCCTGAGAATCACGTCCACCTTTTCTACTTCCTCTATTAATATCCACCACGCAGAGGTACAAACACAAGTCTGTCAACACAACTTATCAGCCGTTTCTGTCTGTGCGGCTTCCTGTCGATGATTATCACCGTTGTTTATTTCTACCGGCTCGTGTCACGACTGTACAAACCGCCCGCCGTCCGTCACACTATCGGGCTGTCGACTGTGGCTCTGACGCCAGCGTGTTTGAAGTGCACCCATTGTATTAAACGGGCAAAAAAAAAATGCACCGAAAGCGCGTCAAACTGCTTTGACGCCTCAACTTACGACCTCGTTTCCATTCTGGAGCGTCAGAAGAGGAAGCATCAATAAGAAAGATGCTTCTTCTGCATGCACGGTATCCGCTCGTCGAGAGTTAAAAGGAATACAAAGCTATGGATTTTCCCCTTGAGGATGATGAATTATTAAAGAAATGAACTATACATTATTAATATTACGAGTTCTGTCGCTTTCACTGGTGGAAACGACAAAGGTCGCCGGTGGTGGGTCACATCAGCTGATGCGGGACGGTGTCTGGACTCAGCCAAAGATTGTTTGAGGTAAGAAGCTTCACTCTGTAACACTTCTGGACAACGAGAGGGATACGTCTTCCATCCAGCAGATCGTTCACATGATCTAGTTAAACTTACAGCGGTATTAGTCCTTTCTATTACTCATACTATACAGTTTACCGTGCATCAGTCTGTGGTTTGTATCTGCTAGTTCGTAGCTTGACACAAATATTTCACCAGAGCATGAAGAGAAACGTGCTGAAAGTCTTTGAAGAACTAAAAAAACATGTAATCCAGGCGTCACCGGCTGAAATATTAAATTCTGCAATGACTTGTGAAGACGGAGGAACACACACAAGTCACCCTCAAATGTTTTCCCCCTCGGCTGAAAGGCTGAAGGGTAAATGTGAACGGACGGGAGAGAAGGAGGGGGCGTCTAATCATGACAAACATGGCAGCTTTCAGCGCGGCAATGTCATGAAAAACAGACAGCAGAGTGTTACGTTTCTGCCTCTCACGCCTGAAGAGAACACGGTGTCACATGTAATGTTCAACTGCTGATGTTGTCACCAGCAACACAGTCTGTGAATATGGACTTGCTCCTCTGTGATTAAATGAGGTTCATGAAGGTTCATCTTTGACATCCAGCGTTACTTCATCTCTCCATCTCCGCCAAATATGATCCATCTAACCGGGTCAGCTAACCCAGCTCCATCAATATGGTGGCAACGGGCTCGGACCTCACGCCGACGCATCCATCATCTGAGGGCGGGCTGCAGTGTGTGTATGTGTGTGTGTGTGTGTGTGGGCGGGCCCACCAGGACACTGGAAACTCCAACAATGGCTCATTGCTGGGCTCAACCCGGCATGGCAGCTATTTAATCATTCATTAGCGGTGTGGCTGGTGGATGAGGTGCTGGCAGGTGGGGGGCTGAATGGAGAGGCGGCGGAGGAACGAGGTGAAACACACACACACACACACACACACACACAAACTCGATAAAAATGTGCGTTAACACACTTTAACGTTAACCACAGTGTAAATACACTTTAACGTTAACCATCACAGCGTAAATACAATTTACATTATATTATTATTTGCTTACAGTGTTCATTTTGGGTCTTTTCATACATGACAACATGTGGAAAAAGATTATAAAGTTACGCTTATTCTTTCACTTTACTCCCCGTCTGTCCGGCTGGCTTCCTGAGGTTGGTGCATTGAAATGAATGGCGGGTAATGAAAAGTCATTTTACTCTGAATGAAAACCAAACGTGCACAGAGAATAGAAACCTGTGGTTGAAGCCGCCCTCGTCAAGTGGATAGGTTATCCCGTGAGCCAATAAATAGTGCAATTGTCTGTTTCATTACTTTATATTCATGTAGTAAATACACTAAGAGGGGGTAATAAAGAGGGATCACAACTGACATCACAGCTGCACTCACTTTCAGTGTTACATTTAAACAAAGTGGGTTGGATTCAGTAATCTGGGTTAACTGGAGGCTAGTTCACAACATGCCGTTAATGTCGTCTTTTGCAACAAAGACCAAAGTTATTTATGCGCGCTGTAAATAGTCAACGACGTGTGGAAACAGTGGATGTATGAATGGGAACCAGCGACAACATCGACTTGCACGACTACAAGGAAACTCTTTCTGTAACGTTCGTCACGTAGTACGGAAAGAGTGTGGAAAAGTCCAGCGATCTGATCTTTGGAAGTGGTGTGCGGTGAACTTGGCTTTAAAAACAGCTGCGTTTCCTTTTTCCCCATCGGCCTTTTGCTGGAGCGATGCGTTCACAGACGGGAGGACAAATGACAAGAACACTACGATCACAAGAGGGAGGAATCATCCTTGAAAAGGAGGGTGGGACATCGTGAACCTCACAAAAAACCATCCTCACTATAAAAGGTCAATCTGGCTCTGATGGACGCACACATGCACACACACTCTCACTCACACACACACACAGCAGTTAAGGCCAGTGTAAAGTTAGCTCGTGAAGAGTGATTAAACTGGAGTAAGAGTGATGCCTTTAATCTCATGGAGATCCAGGCCATGCCCTTGTTCCCGCTTCACGGCTCTGACTACAGACGCTGGGTGTGGCTGAACTAATCTTTGATTTCTCACGAGGGGGCCGAGCTTAATAACACTTTTGCTGCCAATTACACTGAAAGTATTGCTCCCTATGAGCCGGGAATTAGAAAAAGAAGAAGGCCCGTACTGTGAGTGAGGGAGAGCCAAAGCTGTCTTAGCATGTCATGAACGTGAGAGTAGCAGGAAGCTAACGGCTGGATCCTTCTCCTAATGCATGCAGGTGTAAAGGCGTCACACCAGGCCGCTAATAAGCAGAGCGACGCTCCTCCCTCTAAGGCTCGTTAAGCCTCCTCCTCCCTAATCTCTCCCCTCCTGTGGAACCAAAGGGCTTCTCCTCTTCTCTCTGACTCTTATTACTTCATTCCACCCCCCCCCCATCGTCTCATATCCTTGTCATTGCATTTGTAATGCTCTTAATAATTCTCCACGAGGCACGACTCTCATATTGTTTGTGTTATTACAGCGGCTGCTCCTGCAGGTATTTTGGGAGAAACACGATTTTCACACCAACGTTTCTATTTAATGAATCCTAATGTTGTAATTGTCAGGTGGATGTGTGTATTTTTATCTGGGTTTGATAACATCTCGTCTACTTTCATCATTCCCTTCACACTCGCACTAAAACATTCCTCATTCTTTCATCCCATAATGATCTTTATTCTCTTTTAATTACCCATTTAACAATCCTCCGTCTCACAACTTCAGAGGAACCATATGGAAAACTGATCAGATGGGATTTATAAAACATTACACACGTTTTTAAACTTTGTATGAAGCTCGTTTTAACACCTGATTGAAGAAATTTGCGGAAACAAAACAACCTTTTCTCAGAAAGTTGGAAATGAACACACAATCATAACTGCAGATCTTTTCTGATAATCATCACGTTTGAAAGTTTTCCTCAGTACCAAAAGTAAAAGTGTAAAAGTAATAAATATACCAATTAACACGTCATTTGAACCTATATAGCGTAATTCACAAGTCTTTTCCTTCAGTATCGTCGAGATATTTTCCCATGTGGTGACGTAGAACATCACGATGCGGGACTGTTTATATTGTGGCTCCAGTTCTGTTTCATCTTTGTATAAATCTTCCTACTTTACCTTTTACGAGCTTCTAGCAAAGGTCTTGAGGCCGAGTGTGGTGGAAAGTAGTCAGATGAGGTTGAACAGGACACTTTGGTGCCAAACTATCAGGTGAGTCCTGTGATTTGTTGTCGTTGTAGAGAAACACAGGATATTTTGTACCTGAAATACTTCCACGTACTGTTCCTCGGATGCTTTGGTTTGCTGATTATTTGACCGGCTCTGCTCTGTTTCTTTTGTATTGATTAGCTTTACTTTACTGAGAGGTAACGAACTGTCACCGTTGCCTTTGTAGACTCCCGATGGATGCATAACGTATACGGTGGGTTCTGATACTCTACATCCTGGTCTCTGACTGTGTTAACTATGTTTTTACGTCATGTATCGTATGTATTATGTGTTGTCCGTTATGTGGACTACAGGAAGATCAGCAGCCGCCGAGGAGTCAGCTAGTCCAGTTAATAAACGATAAACAAAGGGTCAAAGGGTCAAGCTGATGTGGATTTGTAGGAGCGCCCTCTGCTGGACAACAAGGGAAACTATTTCAAACTGTCTGAGTAGCCGAACTCATTCTAAGACTCGCATCATAATGCGTGGCTAAGTGTCCTTTAAAAGCCTTTTAATGAAGTAAATAAAGCCAAGAGTTAAATCACCCCTCCATCTCTTTCTCCTCATCATATCCCCAAATTGTCTTTTCCTCCTCTCCCGTTTGCATCCCCCTCCATCTTTCTTCCTCCACCTCTTTCCTGGTCTATCCATTGAAACCTCTTCCTCTGCAGTCTGTGATTAATCTTCTTCTTTCTTTCTTCCTCCATCTCTGATGTCTCCTCCTTCACACTTCTCTCCGTTCTCTACCTTCCATCTCATCCTCCATCCAATCTAAGCCTCTCTCTCTCCCCCCGGTTCTTCATCCCCAATTCCTCCCCCGATCCCTCCCTTTTCTCGCAGCTCGATCACAGTGATCCTGAGGTTAATTAGCCCTCCGAGTGTCAGACCGTTAGATCCTCTCTGCCTACCTTCTAGCTGCCCCGTGATTGCCTCAGTAGGAGTAACAGGCTCAGGAGTCAGACAGAAGAAAAGAGAAGGAGAGAAAACACAGAGGAGGCACGGACAAAATAATGATTCCAGGGGAATGTTTTTAGGGAGACAGATGTGAGAAAAGGGGGAAGGAAAGGAGGGATGGCAGCTTAGGGGAGCAGAGAGGAAAGGGAAGAGGAAACGCAGAGCAAAGGAGAGAGGATGGAGGTGGACAGGTAACGAGGGAAGCATAGTTAGCTGTGAATAAAGGAGAGACATAAAAGCTGAACAAAAGATGATGGAGGGGTGGAAAGAGAGAGAGAGAGAGAGAGAGAGTGAACAGATCGAGGGCAAGAAATACTGATAATTATGGAGGAAAAAAGGATAAAGGATGGACAGAGGGTAAAGAGATAAAGAAGAAGTAATAAGCACCGCAGATGATGGATAGAGGGACAGATAAAAAAATGTGATTGCCAAATGTAATGAAAGAGCGGAGATTGAAGACAATAAAGCGGTCACGTCCAAACACTACAAAGAGGTTATAAAAGAAAACAGAGGGAAGGAGCGACAGTAAAGACAAAAAAAACGACAATAAAACGGTAAGTTAGGATGAAGACGGGGGTCGTAACCACTGTAGAAACATGACAGAAGGGAAAAGAAGTGATGGACAGAAGGAAGGGAAGCTGGTAATAGGAGAGGAGGACAGAAAGAGAGAAATAAATGAGGTCTGATGGACAAGAGAGGAGGTTGTTAACCAAAGAAAAATAGATAGAAACGGACCGACAGGAAGAAGAGGGATGCTGCTTAAAGGTGTAAAAAGACACCGAGGAGGGAATCAAGCTGAGAGATTTAGAAGCGTATACTGGTTTAATGATTGTACTCATTATATCAAATGTAACCCTCTGCATTGTGTTAAACAAGAGGAAGCTTGCCAATGCTGAAAATATGAACACCACGTTTATTGTGCAACCTTACGAAAAATGAAGGTGATTCACTTTGTTTTAGATCCAAACTTATAACAAGAAACACAATGAGGTAATAATGGTGAGCTAGGTTTAGCTAGTGTTTGTGTTTTTGATACGATTTGACTGATCTGGATCAGCTCTTTGATGACAGTGTGGTGTTACGATAACACCGCCCAGGTCAGGAGGTTGAATCCAGCTTGAGCAACAACTGCATACTGTATAATCTGAGGTCTGATGGCATGTTTCTCAAGGAAAACTCATCTACATAAACTCCTCGGGCCCTATCTTAAAGATGGCGCAAAGCAGCGCAAAGCAGCACAAAGCAGTGCAGTGATTGCCAGTTTCAGAGTTGTTATTTTCAATCCAGCGCCCACGTTGTGTAAGGACCAAATGTACCCGTCTGGGTCCATCTGTACGTCACGTTGGCCTTAAAACGATGTGCGGTCAGCCCAACTGTTGGTACGTTGCTATCTGGAGGCAGCAAACATCTATGATTAACTGAGAGACTAAATGCAACCCCTTGTTCTGTCACTGAAAGCTCGGTGCTAATTTATCAGAGGGCAGACTATCAGAGTGATTGGCCAAATGAAGCACTGGCCTATTGACCTCGATGAGGAGTTATGATGAGTTTGTGTTTTTCACAGCAGGTAATCAATCATCTCGAGTGGAGACAAAGCCACTTGAGAGTCTCTGTCCACCAAACTCTTGTGTATAAAAAGGAAGTTTTAGGTACACACCACTCCGAAGTCCAGGTTCTGTTCGATCCACTCCTGGCCGTCCTTGAACTCGTCGTGCAGACCCATGATGTAGAGGGTGTCTAAGGCGTCCACAATGGTCGCCCCTAGCTGGGAGTTACCTGCACAACACACACAGGAAAACAAACAAGGAAATGAGATTAATTTGTTCGCTCACGCTGCACGCCAACTAATCACAAAACACAATGGGCCTAAATTATGAAGGAAAAACTGAGATTTGTTGCATAAAAACGAAAAGAAAAAGAAATTACTCCGAACTTTGCTGCACGTCCATCATGCAAACACTGCAATCTACATATAGAGAGTAAATTGTGCTCAGACAATCACAGAATGAATTAATCGATGAGTCATAACCATAGACTGTGTATAAGAAGGGGACGTAGTCGTCGAGACGTCACTCATTGGTTTATGGACTGCCGTTTGGAAGCCTCGAGTTAAGCGATTTGGCCGTCGCCATCTTGGATTTTTGCAACCAGTGAACAGGAAGTGACCATATCTGGACTGAGGAGTGACGTAGAGACACCGTATACGTCTCTGGTAGAGACCTGTCAATCACTGTAAGCCTCGCCCTAAAGCATACCCTGCTTTATGGTCTGTTTGACTCTAAGAACTTCTATTTATAGAGCAACATTCAAACAAATCAAAGTGCTTTACAAATGATTGACGAGATGAAGACGACGAAGAGACTAATGCACACCCAATTACAAATTAAAGAAATAAAGTATCAAATATATATATATCAAATAAATATCAAATAACAATCATACTATTATCATCTCTATCCGACCAGCATTCCACTGATCTACATCCCGTCTGCAGCTGGAACAATGAGGTCGATGTCTTTGCAACGGAGATAAGAACTCAAGCTAATTAGTGCAGAGATAGAATATATCAAAAGGTGTCATATCAGCATTTACATTCATCCACTTGAGAGTTTGGATATCACGGACGTTAGGAGCTGAAAGCTGTTGAGTTTCTGCTCACGTGTTTAGAACGTAGCTCTGAGTCGACAGCTCAGAGACTTCACCATCGTTGACAAACCGCCCCATAAACACAGCAAATACATCAACGTTATTCTGAGCACCAGAGAAATAAAACATTACTTATTGCCCCTTTAGGTAAGTTACAACTCATGGAGAACTGTTGTATTTCCACTCTTAATCCAGTTTGTATTATCACCAACGCTGAGGTCAGCGACTCTCTGCCTCCAGCTCTGGACTGTAATCTGCTCATAATGTTATGCTTTATAAATCCTCAAGGCTTTGAATGTTTTGTCTTTTATCTCATTCCTTCGGGGATTAAAGCATAATTATTACAAACACATAAGTCAGTCAGTCCTTGTTCTGAAGCCTGGGCAGCTTTTTGTTATCTTTCCTGTGAATATGAAAAAGGTTATTAAATGTGCTGTTCATCATTATTGTCCTTTCTCTGCTTAGTGATGGATAACATCGTGTTTCTGTTTTAAACCAACACTACGCTGGCAGATAATGATATTTCACCACTTACTTATTGTAAATATATAATCTTGAGTTATGATAATGAGATTGATAATTCAAGAGAGATACGCTACATTTTACAACATTATATTTAAACACATCATGATAACTTGATCATTTACATTTTCCTAACACTTTTCGACAGAATGGAGCTTGGACGCATTGTAATGTAACTCAATGCAACCTCCGTTAACGTTTAGCCAAGCAGGACTGTGCTGCCCACTGGATGCTAACAGCTAACGTTAACTAGCTCTCCGCCATTTGTTGCTCACAATGTAGCTTTATCAGCGGGAAAAATAGCAGAACAACAGGTGTGGAGTAGCGCATGTGCAGTAGCGATCTGGTGAACGGCGAATACCACGTGTTTCCGTTGTTCCCGTGTAGCGTAAATGATATGAGAACATATCAGATCGGTGCATTAATATACTCGCCGATACCCGATCAAGCATTTCAGGCTGTATCGGAGGAAGTGGTGGTACTGGTATCAGAACTCTAGACCTCGAAGGGTACCGAAGTATCGGTTCTTGTAACATCCCTAAATGATAATTGTTTGATAATTATTATTTTTGTGTCTTCATTCTACTCTGACAACGAATGAAAATGTGCAACTGCTGAAAATGAAACATTCAATGCACATTTATTCTGCAGACATAAATAGTTTTTAATTAAAAAAACAATTTTATGTCAACATACATTCACTCTGTGCATGAAACGAAACATCTGCATATCTTAAGGAGTTAATCTCCTCATTAATATGTAAAACACTGCAGCAAGGTATTCTGGGATCTACTGCTGCTCCCCGTCTTTGGTTCAGATCGATGCTCGTTCACTCGCAGCTTATTCCGGTGATAAAACTCGGTGTCGCTGCCCTTTAAATTCTTCCCTTGTTTCCTATCAGCTCCGTCCCTTCTTATCTGTGGCTCCATTCAAAAGGAGAGCGCCCGAGCTTCATGCAGGAGCTGCAGCGTTATTATCATCGTAGACAGGAACCTCTGAATCACTCTAAAAATACTCTGCAGGCATCGCTGAGAGCGAGATGCCCTGGCCGCCCGCCCGCCGGATCTCGACAGATTGGCCCGACTGTTGCTGGAGCAGAGCCCCCCCCAATCTCCCTCCCCGTCTGTCGCTTTCATCACCTGCAGGAAAGCCGTCAGCGGTGGCAGCAATGTGACACCAGAGAGGCAGAGATAGAGGCCTGTCAAAGGTCTCCAGTCAGAGAATCAGCCACTGATGTCCAGGCTTTGTGCAGCAGCTCCTGGAAGCACAGAGCTTCCTGTGTGTCCACAACAACGAGACGCCAAAGAGTTGAGTATTAACATATTTAGCCATGTTTTTCCTTCTAAATACAAAGACGTGTAAACAGAAATGTATTTAAAACTCTTATCACGTGTCTAAAATCAGTAAGTGCATTCTCGCCAGAAAAACTGACACTATAAAGAAAAACACTTGAGAAAACATACACACGCAACTGAGATCTGAGACGCACACACGCCTGTAGTTGCTTCAGGTTTAAAAGTTAAGTAACGTCCTCAAAAACCTTAACAAATCTACGGTTCTATTTCCATGGATGTATAAACTCATCCACAGACTCCTGGTTCTTATTTATTTATCACTCTGCAAGTTTAACTTCAAAGCTGAAGAGAATCTTTATTTGCAGTTTACTGGAGTCTCTCTGTGAGAAGTTCATCTCACATCCATGTTTGGATGTGAGCTTGTGATCACACCTTACGGTGTCTCCTCTCCTCTCCCTCCATCTTTTCTACAACCATCTGTTTGTTGTCATTCATCACAGTCCTGCTGCTGTGATTTCTCCATTCAAACCCTGATGCACCAACGCTCCTTTAACTCTTCTGCCTGCTGAATCCTCCCTGACCGTCTCCGGTCCACATCTCTGGTCTTGTATTGTCTCAGCATCCATCTTGTCAACACAATCCCCCCCCCCCCCCCCGCATCCTCTGCAGACCTTTCATGCGACGCCAACTGCATCAACTGAAGCTGAAATTGGCACTCTCTAAAGGTGGGTTTAGGGTTGCCAGGCACTGCTTATCGGAGACAAATTGGCCGGGATGAGGTTTATTTATTTGGAGAATTATCACCACAGCATCATGCATGCACAGACACACACACACACACACGCTCTCTACCTCTCTTCACATACTGAGATTGAATTCACACGTCTTCTCTCTACCTCACCTGAACTCTCTCCGACTTCCTCTCTCCATCTATCACAATCTCTCTCTCTCTCTCCCTCCTTTTAGAAGTTCTCCGGGTCTGACTTCACACGAGGCAGGAAAACGTGATGTTATTAGTCGTCTTGTAAAACTGTCGGCTCTGGGAGAGCGGCGAGATGATGGAGAGCCCAGGTGCGTGTGTGCGTCTAGTCTATCCATGTTGCACAATTTCATTTGTTTTTCGTGTTTGAATGAAATAAGAATGGATGAAAGTGAAGGGCTGTACATGGGGAGGGTTTGGAGTTCATGCATGATGAGTGCTTATTCCTCACCTTTGCTTTAGTGTGCGCGCGTGTGCGTGAGTTTTCTCAGCAGGATCACATCCAGAAGCCCGAAGGTTTTTCGCGACAGAATAACTGAGCTCTGGAGTCGCAGCGTTTCTCTTCTAGCAGCCTCAGATTGTGCTCTGGATGTCCTCCTCCATCCCCATTCAGTCTCTGGTCTTTAGTGCCGAGCTCCTCCTCATTCCCGCTACAAAACCCTCTGCACTTCAACATGTGCTCCTCACAAACTACTTAACTGCAAAGCAGAGAATCTCTGTCTGTCTGTCCGTGGTGTCCAAATTGGTGCAATTTGGAGGCTTCATTAAAACTATTACTTTTTCCGTTTTAAGAAAGCGTTTTAATCGAAAAACGATTTCCATCCAAAGCGCTCAAATAACAGCCTCCCTCCGGCACACGTAGGCAGAATATAAATATATATAAAATGCAGAATTTAAGTGTGCAACAGCTGCAAGCATAGACTCCTCCATCAGGGAAGGAGACGTCACGACTGATGAGAACCAATCAGAGCAGAGGAGAAGTTGGGCGTCTGCGTCATCGTTTTTAAACGTCTCTGTTTTAGGGGTTTGTGTGGACGACAGACGTAAACGTAGCAACGGTTCTGTGTTTTAAAATGAAAACTTAGTGTGAATGTAGCCTAAAGCTGAGCAGACAGTAGAAAAGAGAAAGATTGTCTTTGTAATGTCGAGTTTATTTTAGATAAGTATTGGGGCTGAGCCCTCTTGGCCGTATAGTTTCCATGCTGAATGATCTTCTTATCAAACACAAGCTTTAAGGTGGTGCTTTTAAACAAAACAAATCTGCATGACAAGACAACGAGAGGGAAGTGAGAAAATTAACTTTTTACTCATTTGAACCGACTCATCATATCTGACTTTTTAAGAGGAAACCCTAAAACGTGGTTATCACACAGTGGACATAAACATCAGCTGGTGCAGATCATTGTGAACTATAAAGTCGATGTAGCGCCGACATCGTTACACATAACTTCACTTTTTAAGGCATTTGTAAGAAAATAACATCGGGCTCATTCAGACCGGTGGGCGACTGGCTACCGACGTGAAACATCTGCTGAGTTGAGTTTTCTGCCTCA